ATTGGCGAAGACTTGCGGCCTTTCAACATCGAAAATCTATACTATTCTGAAGAAGCAGGAAGAAATTAAGAAACCTGATGTAGCCAAAGGAATTATCGTTGCTTCCAAGCACCATAAAAGTACTCCTAGATGTTGAGAAGCTGTTGTTGGTGTGGATTAATGAGAAGGAGTTAAAATGTTGGTAACAAAGTTAAACTATTGTTATATTATTTACCAGTGTTATTTATTAGGAAAAATTGACTTGATATTAAAATGTTGATATTTTTTTGGGGTGTGGAACGGGTTAACTGAATTTCCATTATTTTCAATGGGGAAGCTTGTTTCTAGATACGAGAAATTCGCTATACCAGTTGAATGCTGGAACGAATTAAACTCGTATCTCGGGGTTCCACTGTAGATATGTAAGCATGTGTATATGCATGTATGCGCATATATGTGTATAAGTATACACATACATACATAAAGAATATACACATGCACACACGAGCACCTACATTTAAAAATGCATGCATATAAACACACATTTCTGAATCTGGTCCTGATAACAGAAGAATACCTACATGAATCATAGGATTTACATTAATCAGTTTTATTAGAATTCTTAAATGCAGAGGATTTACATTAATCAGTTTTATTAGAATTCTTAAATGAAATCTTCACTATCCGAAAATTCAGTTTCATTTCCAGCTGAAACTGTATCAGGACAATCTCATTTATATTATTTCCCTCTAACAACTGAACATTTTGAAAACCTTTTCTATTCCATGGAAAACTAATGCTACATTAAACATACATTTTCTAAATCTGAAAATTTTAAGTTAGCTTAGAAACTGTAATCATTCTTAAAAAAGTTTGATTTATGCAGATGTTAGATCAATAAAATTACTTTCCTGTGAAAAAGTAATATGGCATTGAACAACATGATTTTACACATCAAGATATACTGAGTGAAAATTCCTGAAATGTTTTTTTTTCTTGGTATCTCTGCAAGAATTGTATAAATAAGACTACCTCCCTTTTAAAAAAAAAAATGTTTAGTAAATACTATGAAGAAAATTGGTTACATTATTTACAGTTCATAATTAATAGAAAATAAATCATTTCTTAGCTTATCAGAATTTATTTTTATCACATTCATAAACAGTACTAATTTAAACAAACATACCATTATGATTTCAATAACTATGAAATAGAAAATCCAAATCTGCATCTTTGATGGTCTAGTAGATTGGACGTCTCGTTTACTACAATTCAGCAGGGTGCTGACTCCCCAGACTGTAATATATATATATATAATTAATTTACAAGGGAAAAAGCAACAAAAATATAAACAATTTCTTGGTTTTATATAAGCATTTCTGCACATTTACAATTTTAATTTTTTTAACTATCTAGTTATATCAAAATACATGATTTAGTAAAATATAATTCAAATAATTTAAGGTATTTTAGATCAAATACTAATTTTTCAATAAATTTTTTCATGCAAGTCTAATAATCAACATAACTATCAAGTTTTGACTTCGAAAATTATGTTTAGAGAAACTTGAAGCTGCAGTAAATAGTAATAAATTTATTCAAAACTGAAAGTAAAGCATTCTTACTTATTTTTCTTTCTTTAACTATGGCAGATCTTTTAAAACAATAAAATCAAACAAACAAAAAAAGAAATGCATTCATGAAAGGACTTAGGACTTACTTATTATTCATGAAAGGATATATTTCAGTAATTACAAGTGCATAAAAATTCAGTATATATATATAAAAAAAAATGAACACAGATTTGGAACAAAGTACCTGTGTTTCTATGGCATAAAATTTCCTTTTTTAATAGCACAATATCTTTGAGTTAAAGATTATATATTAAAGCAAATTTATAAAACTAAATTCAAAAATAAGAAATTAAATTATTTTTAGGGAAAACACTAAGCAAAAAAAAATTTTGAATTTCATAAATAAATGAAAGTTACATGCTTTATTTTTTGGCATAAGGTAGATAACATTTCCATAACAGATTTCTGAACAATTAGTCATGTTAATATTGCCTTTCTTTTTCCATTAAAAGCTATTTCCTGCTTAATTACAGTATGCTTTAAGATAAATATTAAAACGTTTGAGTAAAAATAATATAACTATAAAAAGGTGTGACACATACAAACAGGAGTGACACAAACAGTAAGAAACAGACTAGTGCAAATTTTTTTCAATTTATTGTTTTGGTATTCTATGTCATTAACAGTACCAAATCCTGAAAATGAATCATTAGGCTCGTACACAAAAGAACAACACATGGAAAATCACATTTTCTACACAGACGCTATTTATAAAATTTCATATAGGTGAAGAAAGTACGAGTATTAAACACTGAAAATATAAAATATTCACTTACTTTCTTCAAATAATTAGTAACTTCGATGGATTCAGTCACAAACGCCAATCCACGAACAAACAGTATTCTTTGCGACTTTACCATTCTTTTTGACCTCCATTGCTGAGTGCTGACTTCACAAATATCCCGCCACAACCGGAAGTAGAAAGTGTCTGCTTTGCCATTGGTCAGTGAACAAGAATTGCAACGCTTTTTTTCCCCTTTATAATTAAACATATTAAGAAAGCCTCTAAATTAGCATACGAAATAAACTTATTTTTTGCATTATATATTCACAGCACCTCTGTATTAAGGTAATAATTCAATTTTTCTACGAAAAATAGAAATGTCTGTGTATGCGCATGCCCAGTGTATAATCGTAAAACCGGTTAATTTTTATAAGTTAGCGTAAGATTAACCATGTAAATTTTAAGTTCATTTAACTGGACGTTGTACTTATTCTGTAGATCTCCATATTAAGAATGTCTTTAACTGTTTTCAGGGAAAAAATATAAAATTATTTATTTACATTATTTATTAATTTTTTCCTCATATAAAAATTATTAAAATCGCTATATCATTTTTTCCGTACATTAAACAAAATTAAAAAAAGTTAGCCTCATATGATTTTTATAACAAAGATTAAAGGAACTGAAATATATGTAAAATATCAGGATTCAGCTTGCAATTTCGTAGAGTTATTATTTAGATTATTATTAATTATTAAATAAAATATTAGTATATCTTTGATTATAATTAATGATCCTTTGGTCTACATTAAACTATTGTTCAAGAAGTTAAACGTTTTCGAGCATCTTTTGCTGTATTTATTATTCTATTCCTCGACATGAAAGAAAGATTTGCTAGTCTTATTCCAATTTAATTGCCCACATTTGCTAAATAAAATAAGGAGAGTATTGTACCAAACTCAGTAAGTACACAAATTTAATATACAGCTTATTCCAGTTAAATGGGTAATAGGATTTTCATAAAAAGAAATTAAATTGTGTAAATTAATGTAAGTGTTGATATGAATAAAAATAACAAATTTGATATAAGAAAATAAATAAGTTATTTTGAAGATGTTTGAATTAAGAAAATATAATTTTTTGCATAAATGCACGTAAAGATTTAGCTCACATGTTAAAATTTATAGAAAAATTTTAGCCTCATATATGAATGCCCTTTTTTTCATGTTCGTGGACAAGGAAAACAAAGTGAAATGCCAGAAATACACTAAATATTTTGAAGTCTAAAAAGATTAAAAACTTCATTTTCAATCTTTTTAGACTTCGTATAATATCCGTAAAAGTGACGAATGAAATATACCATAAAGGCAGTAGTTTCTTTCAGAACATTCGGATTCGTATAATATGCGTAAAAGTGGCGAATAAAATATACCATCATGGCGGTAGTTTTATCAGTACATTCGGATTCGTATAACTTTCGTAAAAATAACGTGTGGAAAATAACGATCAAGAGTCAACAGTAACTTCAGCCTATTTCAATCGTATAAATTTCGTAAAAGTAACGTGCAAAAAATACCATACCCTTATTTCACCAAAATTATACGTATATTTTTGGAGACGTGCTGCCTGGGAATACATTCTCTTTAATTCTATAAACAGACATAATTTCTTGTTCAGTTACAAAGTTCCTCTGTTCAAGTCCTATAATTGCTGTGTCTACCGACTAATTTGTCAATTGAAATTTTTTCGTTTTCAATAACCTCTGTCACTTTTCTTCGCTATCGGAAGTGAATTATAATGACGAGGAATTGATTTAAATCATATCAAAGACTGAGTACATCGAGATGAAATACTACATTTAGTAAGGAATTATAAGCCAAATAAAATAAAAACATCTGCCCTGAAAATAAGGATAGTGCTGACAGATCAGCTTCCAATTCATTGCGCGCCGCGGGCGGCGTTAAAGATAAACAAAGGATATGCCTTTATCCATTTTTTGCTATTCCACTTTTTGTTTAATGACATATTAATAAATATATATCAGAAAATCTATTTGACATAATCGAAAGTTCAAGCTTACTTTTATAAAATTGCTCTAACAGTCTGCAAAAAATAATAAGCCGGATCCAGTTCGAAGATTAAGGAACAACGCAATCTGCAACATTAACTGAAATAGATAATTAGATAATTTTAGCCTAGCTGATACCGTCCGTTATACATTAAACACGCACTCGTAAACATATTTTGTGCACGTGCACAAGCATATTTGCAGCCGTAAAGGTCTTACGCGCATGCATCAACGCAACGCATGCGCAGAAAGTTTGTAGCTTTGAGGTCCGGATTATGGGTGTCCGAATTAACGACATTTGACTGTATATCACTCTCTTACACTCTCGTCAATGTGATGTACCATCGATGTCATCTGGTTACTTCCTGAAATTTGCATATGATTCTTGAAGATGTGTGTAGTGGTTTTACAGGTGATATATTTATTTTAGAGTTTGATTTCCGCTTGACTCCAAATTATCATTAATTTATGGACATGAGTGTATATTAATGTCTCAGTTCATTTATAATTTCAGTACTTACTAGTTCAGATAATTCTTAAATATTTTTAGTTTGATGATTTTGTTCCCTAATTAATATTATGTATTTAATTACAGAAAGCCTATCGGAAGAAACTTTGCTGCTTTGTTTCGATTTTAGTGATTGTTGCTATCATTATTCTCATAATTGTGTTAGTGACTTCAAAATCATAATGTTTTCAGTCTTAGGTGCACATTTTTATCAATTGATCACTATCTTGGATACATATGTGTATATACATATAAATATAAACTGAGGAAATATATGCCAATATATTATTTTCTGACAAAATATAGTCATGCAACTGTGATAATATTGCACATACATAGCTGTAAGTGTGCTGATATTTGTATATGTAATACTTGTATATGTAAGCGATAGAATTTCTTTTACTGTAGTTAAAAAAATATTCATTAATTCTCTGATTATTTGTAAGGACGAAAATTTTTTTTGATATTTTTTATGTCTTTGTAAAAGTGAATAATGTTTATGTTTCTTTAGAAAAATTTGTCATGTTTTCTGCTATAATTACTACAATATTTTACTCATCCCTGCCATATAATTGCCCTTTACTGCTGTAGTAATGAATAATTATAATCAGGTAATGGAAATTTACATAGTTAAAAATCATTTAATATGAATTAATCTGTTGTTTAAAGTTCTATTTTAAAACTGAAATCTAAATTAAAAAAAAAAAAAATTCTTTGCTAAACAGTAGTCAAAAGTTGTTATGGGTATTCTGTAACTAAATTCATACTGTATGGCATTAGCAGTATTATTTATTAATTATATCAATGATGTAAATGCTTCTAAATCTTATAGTTATATTTTTTATATAATCTTATAGATATATTATAATTTTTTTTCAAACTGATATCTGATTCAAAACTAAAATATTGTTAATTTTAGGTAAAGTTATAAAAAAAGGGGGGAGAAAACAATTATAATCTTGTTCTTTATATTTCCCCTGAAACTTCCTGAAGCATTCATCATCAAAAAAGTATGAATTAGTTAAAATATATATATATATATACTGTAAAGTATTTGCCTGTGCACAGCAATGATACATAAGCTACTGAGAATTAAAATTTTATGGACTGAATTTTAATGAAACATAAATCAGCAGAAAACCTTACACTATTTTCCTTTTCTCTCCATGTAAAACTAATTCTTGCAGTTGCCATTAGGAAATGATAGATCTTTTAAGCATGTTACTTTATTCCAGCTAATTTGAAAGTACAGTAGTATCTGCCAATAAGATACATCCACCAAACTAGACATTTTATCTCCCAAATAAATATTTCTCTTCTTCAGAGGGTACATACTAAAATAATGTAATTTAATTAGAACTTCAGGTTATATGAAGCTTTATATAAATGATATATAAATAACTTAATTACAGATATTTGTTTGAAGTTCATGAAAAATTTAAAGTCTTAATTAAAAAAGTTATTATTGCAAAAATGTATAAAATAAACAATAGAATTTTGTAATTTTTTACAGAAATTTATTGAAAATAATCCATTACACGGGTGTGTTTGAAAGTTTTGCACATTGATGATCCTAAGTCCCTCTCTCTCACCAATAGTTATGATATATATTTTTTTTAAATTGAGACGTATAAGGCATCAGTATAGTTTTTTTTTATGTTACTCTTTCCGTTTGACTCTTCTTCATCTTTCTGCTTTCCAATCTATTTTTATTAATGCCTACCTCATCATTCACAGCTGAACTAAAAGATTATACATCCTCAGTGGCGTCTTCAGCGCACAAATTTTCATTGATTTCTAAATATTCTTGAATTTGAGCACTGCCATTGATAAGTTGAAACAATTCATTTTCATCATACATTCATTGAGGGCACTTGAAACTGGAATTTAAAAGGTCTGCTTTCTTTTCTTAAAACAGTGCTGAACATCACTTTATGATACAGATTGAACAGCCTTTGTGATTCATTGAGCGGCATTCAATACATTTACACATTTTGCAAGCTGATCACTGTTTCTGCAAGCCTGTCAAAGAATATGCCATAAAAACAGTTTTCTGTAATGAACCCAGACGTTTCTAATCATACATTGGTTCAAAAGCTGTAATATTGATGTTGCATTAGGTAGAAAAAACACTAATTTCCCTGATAATAATCAAGTTTCATCTGCATTGTAGATATTTATTACCTCATATCCTTCTCAGATTTCATTTAGCTTTTTTATCCAGTCTGTTACATGTTCCATTATCTACTGATTTTTCTTCACCACTAATAGTCTTGGAAAATAATGTTATGTCTTTGCTAAAATTTGTCTAACCAAACATTTGGTGATTTAAAGTTCTGTAGTGCACTCTTTCTGAAACTTCTTTTGCCTTTTCTTGCAATAAAACTCCACTTACAAGAATATTGTTTGATATTGCAGAACAAAACCAAGTGAATACTACTGTATCAGTTTCACATGCTACAATTTTTCTAAATTTTACAGTCTTGGAATGTTCATTTGAATTGGTAATTTAATAATGTTTTTATTATCTTCTGTATCCTTTAGCACACAACTTACTGGGTTTTTTTTTTTACTTATTTCACATTTCTACCCTAAATCTCTCAAACTAATGTTTTCAATCTGCTACATGGATTACATCAGCTTTTTGTTTTAATGATAATTTTTTCCTCTTTTTAGCAATGCTAGATAACATATGAAAAAATGCACATGTACAAAATTACATTTCTTTTGCTTCCTGCTTCTAGTAAGAACTAAGAATGCTCAAAATTTTCATTCTATCCAAATTGTGAGATCCTTGTGCCTTGGCATATGGTCCAGTCATCCCACCACATTTTTTTCCAATTGGTCCGCATCTTGGATTGCGTTACAACATGCTGACATTATTTTCTTTTCCCTTCTGAGAACTGTAGCAAGAATAACTGATTTTGAGTTCTGTTGAATGTGAAATATCCTTTTGATTGTACAACTTGCATTTCCCAATGTATTTCCCCCCTTTTTCCTACTGAAAAGCAGTTTTCAAAATTTATGGATTAACTTTTCATTTTATTGTTGCCTTGTGACAAAATTATCTTTCACTGAGCACAAACTTGCTTTTGAAACTCAAAAGTTTAACAAAGAGTATTTCTGTTTTCAATAATTTCTGTAACTCTATCTTACTTTTTAAACGTTTTTTCAATGTGTTCAAAAATTAATTCAAGATGATCCCTTAAATATAGGTGTTCTCTATTCAGAGGTGTCCCTTACAGGAGGGTACTACTGTAAATGAAAAATCTTATGTCACATAAGGCAACAACTTTCTTTGATGAAATGTAAATTTCATCATTCATGTTAAAAACAGATGCAATTTTATTTGTATAGTGAAAATACAACACTAGCTTTTCGATATTGAAAATTATTAAAGAACATATACATTGCTCTGAAATCTTTAATTTGGTTGCAGTATAATTATATACTTGTTTAAAAAGTATATTACACATCTATTTTGTCAAGATTGGCTCCAACGATTTCCCACCACTGCATAGTTGATGAATGCTGTGGTATGTTAATGTAACATGACATGAAAAAAGGAAAAACTAGATCATGGACATTTCTAACATTAATATTTTGTAATATAAATTATGATGATTAATTATTTTACTCTGTCAATTTTCGAATTGTTTCTGCGAGAATAGAAACCTTGTTTATAATTTAAAAAATTATACACTTATCGGTATCATCTTGAATTAATTTTTAAGTGTAATTCAGCTGTACCAGTAATGTGCCATGGTTTTTATCAAATGGGAGTAGACTAGATATGATGATACTTGTTTTTAATATGAAGACGAATAATTGCAATGATTTTGTATGCAGTTTGTAAAAATGGAAAGGAAGGCTATAAAAGGTATTTGTGAATGTAATAAATGTTCAAACAAATAAAAAAATATTTGCACATGGATTTTTAAAATGTGAATTCAAATAGATTAGATAACCTAAAGCTAGCAAAACAATTTATTTCTTAATTTGCAAGAAATTAATCATTTAGAAGTTGCATAATATTCCATTTTGAAATTGCAAATATCTTATTTCATTTTAATGCAGACAAACATCTGGTGGGAAATGTACCCTTTTATAATTTCTTGTTTCTGTTGCAAATTTAAGGTCTCAAAAAATGTGATGGGCAACCAGCTGAGAAGGCAGCATATTGACAGCTGATTAGCAAAGCAACTTCATGCTCTATAATAATTTTATGTGAAGAACTTCTTAAAATAAACCTTTCAATCATCGTTTTAACTAGGAATGACTAATTCAATATATATAATTTGAGCTGATTAACCTTTACAAAATTACCTAAATGAACATGAATCAAAATACAGTATATGTTTGGGAGAAGCTTGAGAAAATTAAAATAGCTCATCACTTTATCAGTGTTAATTAATATTATACCTTTAACATGATATGAGCAGGTGAAATCTGTGCAATCTACTCTTCATGTAATGTTCATGTAGCTTGTGTGTTGTAGGCAAAATACTGAGTATCTTTTATATCGCATTTTTTTTTTTTTTTCCTTTTAAGATATAAAGCATTATTTATTGTAATGTTTTTAAATGTTAGGTAAAAATTAGCTTGGAAATATTACTACTAAAACTGTCAGAAAGTCTAGCTTAGTTTCTTTAATCCATTGACAGCATACCAAGATACATATTAATTTTTGTCTTATAATTAGCTGTTATTAGTTTTTTCTGATAGCACTGTATTTTAATTTATAATTATTAGACATAAAAATGAAAATTTCAACTGTTAAGAAGTGTATTTTTTTTCTTTTATATAATTGTCAGCTTGTATGCAATTACAGATCTTTTAAATTCAAAACATAATTAAAGATCTTACTTTTTACCTAATGGCAATCTTCTAAGAACTGATTTTGCATAAAGCACTTGGAAGGTAAATTAATACTTAATGTTTTGCGCAAAAGAACACTTGCCAGGATGAGTGAATGACATGTTTCATGGTCGCATAATGTCATGGGTTATCTAAATATAGCAAAGCACATGGGAGTTAACTGCCTAATTAAAAGGATTCCTTCAAGAAGGGAACCTAGGGGAAAGTGGCTCATACTTGCATTACACATGGGGAAATACCATGCAGCCAGCCCTTTTATTTAGGATTGAACCCACTTCAAACTCTCAGCATTCAGCCACTGATGGGGTACAATGTAGTGTAATGTAATTGTAACAGTCCAAAATTCTTGGAAGGATTCTGATAAAGTTTTCAACATCAAACAGACATTTGTAACTTTGTTTCTAACATCTAAAATGCATAGAAGCCATTCCTTTTAGAAGCGGGGTATATTATTCTGTTTTCTATAGCAAATTGTTCCTTTGGAAGTGAAGTTGAATTATTACTTTTTTTTTTTTACAAAGTATCAAATATTTATTGAATATCATGTACATTATATTTTTAATAGTCAAAAGTATTCTGCATTCTTATATAATTCATAAATGTAGTCAGTTCTTTTTGTGAAAGTTGTACAGGTAACTAGTTTCTTGTATTGTTAAAAGTTTGATAATATTAAGTATTCATATCATAAAGTCTCTATCAGTGTTTTACATATTTTTAAAATTCATTTGTATAGTCAAGAATCAACTGAAATATCTTATTTCCTACTTTTAGAAAACTACATTGTAATCTGTTTTCTGTGCTGATTAGAGAAATAATATATATATTGGTCACTATAGCTCATTCACAGTTTTTAATTTCATATTAATTTTTACAATTGTGTATAATAGTTATTTATTAATTTAAAAAATTCATGTATATTTTAATCTGTTCCAAATTATAATTATTTTATGTAATTTGTCTTTTAGTAATCTTAATTGTTTTAAGCAGAAGTTATGAAAATGAACATCATATGTAAATAATTACATAATTGTGAAATGTATTTTTTGTCTTTTATTTTAACTGAGTCTAATACAAAATAATTAATATTTTCTTTATATGCATGTAGTAACCATATCATTTAAAAATGCGACTAATTGATATTGAGCGAGTAAGAGAATGATAGATATTGTATTCTGCAGAGGCATAATTTTTTTTCCATTTTTCTAAGCTGCTTTGAATATTAATGTCATTTGTTCTGATGGTAAAAAATTGTAAGATGGGCTCATAAACTTACTAGCAATTAGAAAACATATAACTGTTATCATATAATGAAGTAAAATTGGAAGTTTAGGCATAATAAGTTATATAAATGACCGAAATTCATTAAATATGCATGTAAAATAGTCTTAATACTCTGTATTTGAATTTCAGAACTACAAGTATTTATTGTATATTGTAGTAGCTACATAAAATAAATGTGGCTTGAAATAAAATTTTGTTCTTTTTTCTCTCGCTATGAACAGTAATATTTATTTTACTGAAATTTAAATTTTTAATATTTTTTAAAATTTTAAATAATACATATATTGCTTGCTATATTACATAAATTTTAAACTTTTAATTTTTGAATAAATTGGGTTAAAATAGTTGCCTTCGACTTTTTTGAAATGTTATAATTAATGAAGAAACATCATCTTGCTTTTCTTTTTTGAACTACATAAAACTCCACTTTTGATTGATAGAATTTGAAGTGATATAAAAAAAATATATTTTTATTAATCTGAGATTATAGTTTATCTAATAAAAATATTTTTATTAATCAGGTTATAGTTTATCTAATATTGAATTTAAAATTGCAGTGTTTTTGTTCCATATTTTACTGCATTTTTTTATTAAAGTTACTGTAAATAAATAGATTTAATGATAGAATCTTTAATAAAATTTTTAGGATTAGAATCATGAGATAAATAAACTTTTGGATTTTAAAAAGTGTACATTTCTTTTTATCTTTAAACTTTTAAGCAAAAAATATTAAAATATATGCAACTGGGCATTAATACAAACTGGGAAATAAGTTCTGAATATAAAGGTTTTCAGATTTTGAAATGCAGAAAAAATACACACATTTTCTGAATTAGCCATCTTTACTAGGGATAACTTTAACCATTATCAATATACTTAATAGAATACCAGTTTTAGCAATTTTTAGTTTCAATTATTGTGTAATTTCTGTGTTGCCTTTTCTTAAAAATTCTTTATTAATCCCATTATGTATACAAATTCATCCACTAATTTTATTGATAGCTACATTTGTTGTTTCAGATATATATATATTTGTTCTGATTATTAACCTTTGAACTTTGATTCTTTTCTGAGTTAAATCTTGACAGTAGCTCAAGACATTGTTGGCTTTTTATACATGTGTAATAAATAATTGATTTAAAAGAAAATATTATGAAATTTGAGAAAATTTTTTAAAATGTTATTTTTATAATGTTAGCAGTTTATAACTCTTAACTTTCAATTAAAAATTATTTCTAATTTCTCAAAAAATATGCATGATAATGATTTATTGATATGATGGATTTATTAAAAAAGTGATAAATTGTTTTACTAACTTTTGGAATCAATTACTGAAAATAAAACATTTTAATTATTAATATTTCATAGCAAACAAGCAGAACCAGTGAATGTATAATTTCCAAATTTAAATAGTTGCCCATTTATAAAGCAAGATTGTATCCATAAATTATTTGAATGAAAAATCAAAACCAAAATATCAGTGTTATGATAAGGCTATGTAAAAAGAATTATCCAAACTCCTAATGAAAGCATATTTAATGAAAGTAAATTATAAATCAACAAATTTTGCAAGAGAAAGTACTTTTTTTAAAATTATGCTTGGATGATTGTGACGTCAGTGACTGTAGCAGTAGCTATCAGTGGTTAAACATGTTTTATGAAATTGAAATATTTTTGGTCCATATCTACCTAACCCTAAAATCAGCCGTTGGAAAATGATAGAAAGTCTGAAAAATACAATAATGAATGACTTAAGTAAAATTACAAAAAATTACTAAAAATATGTCACAAAATCCAAAATGATTATTGAATGAATGAATCCACTACCAAAAGCCAAATCATTGCAATAAAGAGAGGTAATCCATTGGCACAACTTTAACGATGTAATACAACATACCAACCTTTTATGATTTGAATCTATATTGAATCAAACCTGTACATGTAAAATTTCTACTGCCAAAATTTTTAAATATCTAACCAATACTGTCTATTGAAAAATGGTAAAAAAAATATCTAGAAAATATATGAAAAATAAAATAAGATTCAAATATATGCAGTATTCTTTAATACTAGTGTTTCAACTCAGTGACATAGTACACTTTGTAGCACTTGCATCATAATATTAATGTATATTGTTATGTTACGTAAGGCGTTACGTTCGAACAATGGCTAGCTCAGAAGGGATTCGTAAGTCATCTACCCGATGAATTAACAGCTATCTTGTCATAAATGGAGTACTTTATTTAAACTTAAGCAAAAAGATTTATTTACACATAAAGACAAGTTAAAAGAATATGAAATATTTATCTAGCTACAATATCTATCTAGCCACATCATGCAAACATCGTTCTTAGCTAACTAAACCGGAACTGTTCGTTTTCCTCTGGCGTCCCATGACGTCAGTCTCTATCTGGCTTTTGATTCGTTGGCTTAGTGATGCCATTCCCAACATCCTCCCCCCTTTGAGTTGCTGGATAGCTACTCAAAACATTTAAGTCTGTCAAGTTCAGTCTAAGTGGCATCTTAACGGTTCTACCAGCTCGTGTCTTTATAGTCTTAGAACTGTCACATACATCGGAAACATCAGTTGAGTCCGGAGATCGGGGTGACCCAGAAATTTCTGAATGATGAGATTTAGTTTTGTATCGTCGACATTTAATACAGTCCTTCAGAACACTACGTATTGCTCTTCTTCCTCTTGTAATCCAGTACTTTTCACGCAATATGCTTAGTAATATCTGGGTTCCAGCATGACAGTTTTCTCGGTGAAAATATTCAATCAGTCCTTGAGTAAAGATACATTTATCAGGAAGAAGAATAGGTGAAATGAAGAAATGCTTATCTATGCGTTCAGTAATTCGAGTTTTAACTCTGATAATTCCGTTCACATCTTTGAAAACACACAAGTTCCGATAGAGGTTTCACTAGGAAAAAATTGAGCTTGCACATTACGAATAAGCAGAATTTCAGCATTTTCAATCTCCTGCGTTAGAAGTTCTCCCCCCCATCTAGTATCACGACGCGATCTTACGTTACTGATAAATCTCAATATCCATGGAACCATTCTAACTATTGAATGGAAATTTGAGAATTTAATGGCATACCACGGGACTTCTCTCTTCCGACAAATTAATATTACATAACCTAACCTTTCTCCTTTCAAGTGTTATTTCGGGTGTTTCCGTTATCAATATTTCGGTGTCAGGCCAGTTGTCTCTTGCTTGCAACAACCATGCCGGGCCTTTCCACCAGCAGGATTCTAACAATTTCTTAGGGGAACACCCTCGCGAAATCAGATCAGCGGGATTCATTTTCCCTGGCACATGTCGCCATTCATTATTAGGAAAACAGATTATTTATTTCTTTTACTCTGTTCGAGACAAAAACTGTCCAATCACCACGTTCTTTTAACCAGTATAAAGCTACCCTAGAGTCGCTCCAAAATATTGTTTTAATCTCATGGGCATTTAAAGCCTGCTTCACTGAATATGCCAACCTGGCACCAATGCAGCAAGCCATTAACTCTAACCTAGGGATCGTTACTTTCTTCAAAGGTGCAACTCTGGTTTTTGCTCTAACAAAGTAAATTTTTACCCCTTGAGAGGTTCTCGTTCTAAAAAAAATACAGGTGGCATATGCCTCTTTGCACGCGCATCTACGAAAACATGCATCTCAGTGGAATCATTTATTTCAACATAACGTGAGATTTCGATATCTCTTAATGCATCTATTTCTCTAAACCATCTTTTAAAAGACATTTGAATACTATCTGGTAAGGGAGTATCCCACTTTAGATTTAAATTCCACGTTTCCTGCAGTAAAGCTTAAAAGCTTAGGTGGTAAGATTGCAGGACTCAACAGACCTATTGGATCAAATATTTTGTGAACTGTAGCTAAAATGATTCTCTTAGTAAAATTCTGATCTTCACTTACAAGATTAAAGTTTAAATTACACTTAAGAGTGTCCTTATCAAGATCCCACAAAATTCCCAATACTTTCGTGACACCAGTACTATTAGAAACATACTTACATTTTACATTACTCTCCCAGTTTCTTAAATTAAAGCAACCCCGTGACAAAATATCTTTTGCATTTACAATAAAATTTTCCTGCTCCTCAATATTTGCAACACCAGAAACACAATTATCTACGTAAAAAGAATGTTTCAGTTTTTGTGCTATAGCATCAAATTCAGATGGTACATTATCTAATAAATGTGTAATTGAGGCTGCTAATAAAAATGGACTCGACTTTAACCCAAATACTACTCTGCGATGTCGGTAAACAATCTGTTCACTCTCGGACGGATAAAAAAACCGCAAGAAATCTCTATGTTGAGGGGCTATACTTAACATCAGAAATGCTTTCTCAATATCTGAAGATAATCCTATTGGATGAATTCGAAACCTATCAAGTATCTCTGGAATTATTTCTAGTAAGTTCGGACCCTTATACAAAAGGTCATTCAAAGAGCATTTACCACTTTCTCGGGCTGACGCGTCAAAGACAGGTCTGATTTTTGTAGTGGTACTGTCCTTAATTACTGGCCGATGAGGTAAAAAATGTCCCGTCTCAATATTATCAGTTACCTTTTCAATTATATTCAATTTTTCCCATTCCCGGAAAATCGTAGTATATTCTTCTAAAAATGCTTTATCTTGTGCTCGCTGGCACATCCTTTTATGCCGCTTCCAAGTTAAATCTTTATTTGTCGGCAAATCGGCCACATCAGATTTAAAAGGTAAACAAAGTTCATATCTACCGTCTGAAAGAATTTTCACATTATTTTTAAACTCTTCCAAAACTCTAGAATGTTCTAAATTCTTTCTATTATTTTCAATGGGATCTGAAATACCTATGGATTCTAAAGACCACAAATCTTTTATCGAATAATTACTAACATACAACGAAATTGCATTCAAAACAGTATCATCATTGCTATCTCCAAATGACTCATGTTTCCCAGTTAACACATGTCCTAAACAAGTGTCGATCAAAAATAACCCTGACTCCAACCGAACACATTTATTAGTAAATAAACCGCCCACAATATCCGCTCCCAAAAGCAGATCAATCTCACGATCAGAAGAACCCAAATCAAACTGACGCCTCTATCTTTCAGTTCATTAAGAATTTTACTATCGTTCACTTTTGGCACTGTGCCACAAATTTTGCTCTCGGAAAGTGCTTCGATTTGAAAGGAGAAAGT